GCTCCGCCAAGTTTCTCCGCTCGACTGATGGGGACGCGCGGCGGCCGCCCGGTTCTTCCAGACATTCGGTGCTCGCAGTGGTCCCCACGACCCTCGGCCTCACGGAGGACCTGGGCCGTGTCAGGATCCCTCCCGGCCCTCCCGCCCGCGCTCCCCACCAGACCCCTCCGCGGAGGAGACAGAGCTGAGGGCGCGCAGCCGCGCAGCCCCCTGGGCCCTGGCTCCGCGTCCCTCCCGGGTGCCGGGAAGGCTGGGGCAGGGGGACCGGCTGGGACGCCTTCCAGGCCGAGGGGGAGGCTGGTCGTGGCCACTCTTTGTTCCTGCTCGGGCAAAGCGCGGGGCTCAGCCCAGAAAGGGGGCCGGGACAGCCAGTGGGACCAGTCCCTGGCTCTGCACCTAAAGTTCCCCCACCCCAGAAAACCGGGCTTGGTGTCCCCCCGGGACACGCAGGGCCTAGGGGTCTGGGGACACCCTACCTGTGCCCAGAGTCAATGCCCAGGCCTTGCACGGCCTGGTTGGCCCATCGAAGGGCTGCAGGCCTGAGTCACACCTGTTCCCGAGGCTTTGGAACCCTTCGGCTCCCCTCCCATCTCGGGGCTCCCTAAATCCTGCGGGGATTTAGGCCTAAACTGCAGAGGCGGCCCTCACCCCAGCGGCTGAGCACGTGGCCAATAGCAACAACAACAATAATAATAGCGCCGTCCTCCTCAGCCTCACCAGCCAGAGCCCAGCACCGCGGACCACGCTTGATTAAATCTCGTAATTAGGAGCCACTTTAATGAATATTATTACATTTCAGGCGATTTCAAGAATGGCCTTTTATATTCTGTGGGCGGGCAGTATAAAGAGAACTGAGTATTGGAGATTAATACAACCATGAATGGTGTGTGCAGGGCTCCGGGCACGGAGGGCGGCCAGGCCTGCACCCGCGGGGTCCCGGGACTCAGCGCACCGCCCCTCCCCACGCGCCTCACCCCAGCTCCCCTGCTCAGGGGCCTGGAGAAGGCCTCGCGAGGAGAAGCGTGGAAAAGGGGTGCCGGGCCCCAGGGTGTCGGGTACCGGTGGGGTGGAACGCGTGGGTCTCCCCAGAGGCCTTGGCGGCGAGGTCTGAGGTCGCCAGTCGCTGTTAACCTCCCAGCGCGCGCGACTCCGCCGGGCAGGCTGTCGTTTTCGGCGGAGCCGGGACCCTCCCCGGGGCACTTAGGGAGCTGCCTGGGCTGGCAGAGCCCGCGACGGTCGCATATTCAACCAGCGGGAGACAGAATGACGTCCAGACCAGCGGGCGCGAGCACACGCCCCCTCTCTGCCCTCCCGGGGCAGCCGCGCGCGTATTTGCATATCTAGTGCCTGGGTACTCGCGTGCGCGCGGGCCGGGCACACCTGTGTCCAGCGGCCCAGGAGCCCCATGGATTTGGCCTTTTCATTCAAGGAATAAAACGAAAAAGACGGAGCCCTCTCGGCGATCAGACCGGTGTCACCGTGTGGCTCTGTCCTTGCGTCCCTAAAGAAAGCGCATAGCGGGTCTACTCTGAGCGCCCGTCGCGCCCGTGTTGAGCCTCAGACTCTGACTCCAGCCAGAGGACCCTGCTCCTCCGACTCCTTCCGTCAGCGAAAAAGGGCGAGGCCGTGAGCACGCTGCCGGGGCGCAGGCTCGGGAGGCCCGGGCCGACGGTCCTCTCCACCCGGCTCCCAGCTCCGGGTTAGCCTCCGCCCGGCTACCGAGTGAACACAGCGGGCCTGCGGGTGGAGGCGGTTCAGCTGAAGAGCAAGGACTTCCTTTCTGAACGAGTTTTCCTCTGAGGACCGTTTAGGGAACCGGCCTCTCGAAGGCGCGACAGTGGGGGTGCTCTGCGGGCTCTTGCTGTGGTCCCGGTCCCGGTCCCAGAGGCCCATGTGGAACCTCAGAGGCCCGACTTCAGAAAGGAGCCTCCTCCTCCCTGCAGGCCTGGCTCTGGTCTCCACTCGCCCCTCGTGGGAGCGGGTTGTCTGGCGCAGCAGGGCCTCTATGAGCTTACATTGTCCGCGGTTGAGTTTTTACATGTAATAAACATAGGAGCAAAACCAGGATCCAACTTTTCAAGGGTCTGAAGTCTCATTCAGTTTAATCGCCTCCCAGAGACAACACGAAGGAAAAGGAAAATCTCCTTAGGCCAGCGTAGGCCTCGTATCTGCTTGCACACCTCTGGGAACGGGGATCTCATTACTTCACAAAACTGTACTTTGCCCCTTAATAGTGTTATGATTTGCAAACAGATTGAAAAACAAAATGATTGTTTACTGTTGTTATATTGTCCTTTTATTTAGAAGAGATTCAATAGGGTAGTAGGAGCGGTGCTGGTGGGGGGGGGCTTTGTGTTCAACCTGGGAACCCTCAGAACCGTGCAAAGGCTGGAGGGGATGCTGGGAATGGCGCCCCATTGGCTGCGACCCTGGGGTTCTCAGGACGGGCAGCTGGCGCTCTGCCGTCTCCTCGGTGGGCTGCTCTTTGCAAATCCACGAGCAACCCGGCTCCTGCACCTCCTGCACCGAGGCCCAGCGTCCGCCGGAAGCTGGTGGGAACAGAAGCCGCCAGCAGCCTGAAGCATCCCCTTCGGCAACACATAATCCTCCCAGTAGTCTCCTCGTTTCTTTTTCTGGGAGAAGAAAACATTGTTTTTTCCAGCCAAGAAAGTTTGGCAATAGAGCAACCGGAAACACAGTGCACGTGGACTTTCCTGCGTGGCCTCGCGGAGACGGGTCCTGCGGCGTCTCCGCCAGCAGAGGGGCCTCGGAAACCCAGGCCTCGGGTCAGCTGGGCTGCCCGCCCTTTCTCTGCACACGCCTTTGGATGTTGCCCACGTCCTTCACTTTGGGGTAAAAGCAACCAGACAGGGTAAAAGAGGAGAGCCCCCTGTGTCAGTGGAGAAAGAAGGGTTCCTCCCCTGGGGGGGGGGGTACCTGCTGCTTTCTGCGTAATTTTAAATATCTGTTCCCCGGAACAGCACAGCAGTTCGAACACTTCCTTCTGGCCGAGAGATGTGTGTGCAAATTACTTGGGTTGTTCTGGGCTCACATAGAAAATATCCAGTGTCTTCATTATTTAAAAAAAAAATTATCTGTGAAGGTGGGCCTGGGGACCCCTGGTGGGACTGAGGCTCAGGCCACCAGTGCGGGGGAGGGGGCCCAGGGCAGCCCCCTGGACCCAGAAACACAAAACTAGTCATTCACCTTGGACATCCAACATTTTACAATAAAGTTTTTTTTTTTTATTGAATGTAACGTTCAAGATTTTTAAACACACAAAAATGCAGAGGGAATGTTCACAAGTTTGATAGCCACAGTTGGAAATAGAAACATTCACTTCTCATAAGATTATAAATATTTGATACTGGAGTTGCAAAAATGCACGTGTCTTAGAAACTGAAGAAAAATGAAAACTTAAAAACCAACACACTTTGCTTCCTGCTGAAAAGGCGGATCATTTCATTGAGCCTCCTAAGCAGCAGATGGTTATTCACAGGATGTTAAAGGGCAACTTTGTTTGTATAGTTTCCTTTTGAGGAAGGGTTACACGAGTATGTACAGAGTGGAAGGTGCTGCTGCCGTTGAAAAAAAGGTTTAAGGCAAAGAGAAGTTCACCCTCAGTCCCCAGGGGCCGTGACTCCCGCCTGGGCACGGGCACCCCGCTGCCCCGGTTTCGGACAGGATTCCTTTTCCGTACACTAAACAGAAGACAGTGTGGAGTTAGAGAGAGATAATGCGTCTGTTTAGATATATATATATATGTACTTGGCGGGGATATATTGACTATATTTAATTTACAGTGTACCACACCTTCAAAAAAATAAAATGTATATTTTTTAAAAAACAAGAAAAGACAAAAAAGTGATAAGAAATGATTATTTACATAGTTTCTTCCTTCCTCTGGATCCCGGAGGGTTTGGAGAGCCTTTTCTGATCCAGGTAGCCCCGTGTCCCCGAACTGGGAGCTCGTGTACACCTGCCCGTGTGTACGGACCTACATGCACCTGTGCACACACGTTTTACCTTAAAGGAATGCTCTCTCGGTAGCAGAAGTGGCCGCCTACAGAAAAGGAAGGGGAAAGGGAACGGAAGGAGAGGCCAGCCCTGCCTGGAGCCCTCTGCCTGACTAGAGGGGCCGGACCTCTGCCGATTTCTGCGGCGTCCCGTCCGAGGGGCTGGTGGAGCCATAGTCAAGGCCCTGAGCCTGGGCCTGGAGGGACAAGGGTCAGCTCTTTGCTCGTGGGCCCCTCTGCCCAGGAGCCCTGGCGCCCAGAGGCCAGAGAGTTGGCACTGGGTGGAGGGACAGGGGACAGTGAAACCAATGCAGACGCAGAGGAAGCAGCACAGGGGCCTGGTGAGGAGGAGGGCGGGCAGAGAGCGAAGGCAGCGGGAGGGGTGGATCAGAGGGTGGCGGAGGGTGGACCCCACGGGCTCACTGCCCAACGCAGGCCCTGGCGACAGGCAAGGCCGCGCTCCTCGGAGGACCCGCCAGGCCGGGGGAGCGTCCCTCCTGCTGACCTGCCAAGACCACACAGACAAAGTGGCGAAACTCATAGACCAAGTAGGAGCTATTTATTCAGTTCACAGTCGTGGGAAATGCAGCAATAAAAATCTTTGGACTTCAGCAAGTTGTTTTAATTTTTTTTTCTTCTTTTGAAATTAAAAAAAAAAAAAGTGTCCCATGTCCCATATGGAGCTTAGGGGATTAAAAAAAAAAAAAAAAAAGATGAAACCCTAAGCAGCCCCCTTGGCACAAAAAAAAAAAAAAAAAAAAGTCATAAAATTAACATCATCTCATAAACACACCAAAAAAAATCAAAAAATACTTTATAGTCAGATCTTTTGGATTTTACATCACCTGTAAATTATATACACATAGATATTGCAGAACCATAGCTAACACACGGTCTCTTCGCTAGGAATGCTGGTAACATCTCGACACACTGGCCCTTTGTGAGAACTTGGAGTTATTGCATTGTTTGGCGCGGGGAGCCGCGCCTACTCGCTGTCCGACTTGCCCTCCTTGGCGGTGGTGGAGTGGTTGTACAGGCCCTGCGCCATGAGGTGCACGGCCAGCGTGTTCTTGTTGCCCGTGGCCTTCTTGATCTTGGCGCGCTTGTTCTGAAACCAGATCTTGATCTGCGACTCGTTGAGGCTGAGCTCCTGGGCCAGGCTCTGGCGCCGCTGCTCCGTCAGGTACCTGTTGGTCTGGAACTCTGCCTTCAGCCTCTGCAGCTGCTCCGCGGTGAAGGCGGTGCGCGGCCGCTTGTCCTCTTTGTTGGGGTTCTTCTTCTTTGGTTTGCGGGACCTGGGGCCTGGGTAGGCGTGGAGGAGAGAGAACACCGTCAGGGGCGGCAGAGCTGCCCGCGGGCGCGGCTGTGGGTCCTTCCGCAGGGGCAGGAGGACGCGGCTGCCCGGGGAGGTGCCCAGGGTCTGGGGCTGACCTGGCGGGGACCGGATGTGGGCTCCCTTGAGAGTGAGGCTGCGGGCCAGCGAAGTCTGGGTGAGGGGGGAGTTGGGGTGCAGGGCAGACTTCGTGGAAAAGTCTCCAGATAAAAGGAAAACTGCAGGAGAGCAAACCTCAACTTTCTGGCCCGGCCTTTCCCACCCTTCCTGAGGTCTGTCCGGAGAAGGACGGCGTGGGCCCGGCTGCTGGGCCAGAGGTGAGGGGGAAGAGCAGGCAGGCAGACTCACTGGGGGAACCCTGGGGGCTGTGGAGGGCTCCCACAGTCACCCCAAAGGGGACACCCACAGGGTGCCGAGAGCTGTCCGTCCTGAGGACAGGGTGTCTGCCTCCACCCCAGTCCCGTCTGCCTCCCCCACAGACCCTGTGGGTCCAAGGTCACTGTTTCCTTTAAGGACAGAAACACACGTGTCCTTCTCTGCGTGGGGAAGCGGCCTGCGGTCCAAGTCCCTCCTTCGGTCCAAGTCCCCCCTTCCCCTGGTCCCGTGGCTGGGAGGGAAGACCTGTCCCAGCCTGGGAGCTGACCATAGCTGCCTGCCCCACCCCAAGGCCGCAGGGGGCCCAGCTGACCTTGGGCAGAGATCTCACACTCTGGCCCCCAACCCAGACCTGCTCCTCCCAGACCTCAGGGCACTGGGGCTGGTTCCCCAGAGCAGCCGTAAGGACAGGCCTGCCATCCGCCCTGGGCCATCGGAAGAGGCCTGAGCAAGGGTGGGAAGCATTTTCTTTTTGTTTGTTAAGCTCAGCGGCCAGGGGTGTAAGAGGAGAGGCCAAAGCGCGGCCGCTGGGGACTGGGTTGTGGGGAGCCGGGCTGCGCCTCTGGATCTCAATCTGCGAAGTGATTGAATCAGCTTTGGGAGCTCCTGACCCCAACTTCTACCCAAGCGCTGGCGGCTGGAGACGGCAGAAGGCTACACCTCAGACAGCAGAACCCCCGGTCCCCAGCCCACCCGGCCTGCACCCCGACTGGGAGCATAGAGGTGGGGGGGCGGGGAACCACAGCTCCCGGGCTGCGCTGAGCGAGGGGTTTGGGATGGTCCAGGGACCCCCTGAGACCCAGCCAGCTAAGCTCACTCTCCAGGGAGGTAAACTCCCAGAGAAGGGCTGTAGGCGCCAGAGAGGGGATACCAAGGGCCCCTGGGCTCCAACTCCGGGCCTTTTAGATTATAAAACACACCCACACTCCCGCTCGCACCCCACGCGCACACTCACAACCACCATCGCGCACAGGCGGAGGGAGCCGGCTCCGCGGCCGGGCCTGGCCTTGATCCGGACGGTGCGTATTCGGGCGGTGGGCCGGGTTCTGGGGCCGCGCGCAGGGGCAGGAGGCGGCTCTGCGAGGCCCGGAGAGGCGCAGGCGGCCTGCACCGGAGGGAGGACCGCAGCTTCCTGCTCCGGGAGCCGGTCTGGTTTCCACTTCCTCCCCCACCCAGGAGCGCTCTCCTTACCCCAAAACTCCTCTGCTCCTGGGGTTCCTGCAGACACGGATCAGCCAACACACACACACACACACACACACACATTTTAAGATAAGAAAATCCCCCGAAAAGCAGAATTTTTCATCCCCTTTTTCCTGGATTTTCTTTCAAAACGAACCACTCGGGAGTTTCAGAAACAGAACCAAATCTTAGCGAGAAAACTCTCTGCCCTTTTCTTAAACCCCAAGGATCTTTGGGGGGGGGGGGAGGATTTTTTTTTTTTAAGTCCAGGAATACCCAGCGACTCTGGGGGGCCAGGCTACCAGGCTCCTGCGGGCCCCAAGGGTCTGGCGGAGAGGCTCGGTGCACAAAGCCGACGGAGGCTGCTAGCAGGCCCCATTGTGAGCCTATATGTTAATTAAATATTAACAAAGGCGAGAGGCGAGAACAATGGAGCAAATTTCAAATCTAACTGGAGAAATTTGGGTTTTATCCGGGACGAACACACACATTTCTGCAGGAGGGCAGCCAAGGGGTGCCTCGGTTGTGCTGCAGTCTGGGTAAAGGACCCCCACAAAACCGCTGAGGGCTTGGGGTCCAGTCGGAGTTACCAGCTCGGGGGACAAATGGAGTCCGCTTCTCATGACCGGTCACAGCACCGGGCCTGCGTTTAATGTGCCTTATGATTTTCACGAGGACTTGGACATGGCTGTTTTAAATCCCAGACCTATGAAAAATACACCCAGCACCCCAGCACACCCCCTCTCTGAAACCTGCCCGGAGCAATCCCGGGAAACCTCAGGCAGAAGTTCCCTTCTATCGCCAAATTGCAGACGCCCCCCACACCCGGCTGTGTACGAGGTGGGTGCTGCATTCCTCCCCAGGGGCTCCGCAAATAAAGCCGGCGGCTGGCAAAGGGAGCCTGTGTTCTCCGCCATTCCCTCTCCCGAGCCCCCGACGCCCCCTTGGCAGCCCAGGCGGGGAGCCGAGGTTAGAGCCGCAGCCAAGCTGTTTCTTCCCGGGCTGCAGCTGGGCTTTCCTGGCCGCAGAGTGAATCCAGGTCTGGGGGTGCGCTACGCGTGGGCCCTGGGTCCAGACTGAGTTGGAAAGATCAGGGACCGGGTGGAGCGTTGACCTTCCGGGCCTGTTTTCCAGTAACCCCGGTTTCCCACCAGATAAACTCCAGTCAGGGGGTGGGGGGCTAGGGGGTAGGCCGAGAGGCCTCCAAAGGGGGGGGGGGGGAGAAACAGGTCCTGTCGCTCCTGCCATTCTAAGAAGTCTGTACCCCTGGCGAATCAATTCTGCCCCCTCGCCTCCTGGCTGCAGCCAGGGCCAGCGTCAGCCTCACGAAATGTCGCTGTGTGTGCGTCTTTGTGTATGTTGGGGGGGGGGGGGTCCTGTTGTCTTCCTCCCGGTAAGTTCCCGCGCCAGCGCTGCCCTGCAACCCCGCGGGCTCCCCGCGGCGGACCGGGACGCGGGGTCCCCGTGGGCTCACCTGAAGAAGGCCGGTCCGAGTAGCGCGTGCAGTAGACCCAAGCCGGCCAGAGCATGGGCTGCGCGCCCAGGTTGGCGCTGGCCTGCGAGCTGTCCGAGTCCGAGCTCAACGACAGGTCGCCGCTGCCCAAGCCGCGGGCCTTGAGCGCCCCGTCCAGGGGGCCGCCGGGGTCGCCGCCTTTCTTGGCGCCGCTGTGCAGCGAGAGCGCCTTGGAGCCCGCTTCCCCTTCGCCCGGAGAGTCGCCGCCACCGCCACCGCCGCCGGGCAGCGGCCCGCCGGCACTCGGTGCACAGGGCGCGCTCTGCCGGGGCTCCCGGCCGGACCCGAGGAGCTGATCGGCGCCAACTGCGCTGCCGCCTTCGTCCTCACCGCCTGCGCCAGCTTCGCCACTGCCTCCTCCGCCTCTTCCTCCTCCCGCGCCGGCACAGCAAGTCCCCGTGACCTTTCGCCGGCCGAACTCGGGCCGCAGGATGTTGTCGATGAAGAAGTTGGTGATGCGGTGCGGGTGCTGGTGGTTGCCCGGCGCCTGCAGGACGGCTGGCAGCATCAGAGCCCGCCGGCGGCCAGTGTCCAAGTCGCCAGGGCTGCCGCCGCCGCCACCGCCGCCGCCGCCGCCGCTGGGGCTGGATTCCGGCTGCCGCTGCCCCTCCGCCGCCGCCGCCGCTTCGCTGGGCTTGGGGTCATTCTCCTCCATGCTGTTCACAACAAATCCCAAATTGGTTCTCCAGGATCCCCTCCAATCAGCCCTCGGCGCGCCCGCGGCGCGCACGGAGACACCCGCGGTCGGCCCGCGCCCCTACCCCGCGGAGTCTTCCAAGGGCGTTCGCGGTGGCCGTGGCCAGGGCTGGGGTCCTACAAGTCGCCGGCCGCGCTCGGAGCGGAGCCGTTCCCGTCCACGAGCTGAGTTCGAAAACACCAAGAGTCGCCCCGTGGCCAAAGCCAGGAGATTCAAGAGTCTGGTCCTGTCCTCAGCAGCGCACGCGAGCGCCGGTCAATCACAATGGTCCAGCGGGGATCCTGGGCGCCTCCGGACTCCGCTATCCTCTCCGCGTGCAGCTGCCTCTGGCTCCGGCGCCGCCGCCGTGGCCGCCCGGGGCTGGAGCTGCGCGCATGCAGGCAGCGCGCTCCTCGGCGCTCACGCCCGCCCGGGCCCGCTCGGGCCGCCGCCGCCGCCCGGACGCCCCCGCCCGCGCGCCCGGGCCGGCCCTCGAGGGTGCGGGGCGCCAGCGGTCAGCGCGCCCGCCGCCGCCAGCACGCACATGGAGGCCCGCGGGCCCGCGCTGCGCTCGGCCGCCGCCCCGCTGCGAGCCGGGGCGTCCCACCGGCGTGCGGCCGCGCCCCCGCCGAGCCCCGCCGAGCCCCGCGGCCCGAGTCGCATGGGGGAGAGGCGGGAGGCTGGGCCGGGCCGGGCTGGGCCGCCCGCGCTCCCTCGTCGTCTGCGCGCCTCGCCGCCCAGGCCTCCACGCCGGCTCGGAAATTTCCAGGCCACTTAGCGCAACCTGAGACACTTTCACTCTGGATTTTGTTCTTATTTTTAACAGAGCCCCCTCGAGTGACGTCGCGGGCCGGTCTCCTGGACACGTGCCTCGGGCCAATGGCCGCGGCGCAGCGCGCCCACGTGATGTGCCGGCCGCGGCTCGGTGACAGGAGGCTCCCGCCGCCCCTTCCCCGCCGCCGCTGCTCCTCCCCCCCTTAAAGCAGCCGCGTCCTGCGGCTCCGGGTGCGGGATCCCCGAACCCACGAGATCGTGACCCCGTCCCCTGCGCTCAATCTCGCTTTCCCGTCGTTGTTCGGTGCAGGGATCAAAGGAGCCCCGGTGACAGCCTCTCGGGGTCACCCTGATGTCCGCGGACATGCGCTGGGAGATTTCTATTTTTAACATTTCCATATTGTTTACCGTGGGGAAAAATCCCACAATTCCTTGCACAAAAATGCATAAATCATATTAAATGAGCTGCCGAGATACAAAGGGACTTTTGTGGTCCGTGTTCCTTGCTGGTGGAGAGGGAAGTTGTCACTTACATTTGACTTTGGTGACCAGGCAGATTCCTGTGTTGGACGCAGAGCTGGCGCGCAGGATCCTCTTCCTGCAGACACTTACCGTAAGTGTGCGTGTGCATGCGTGTGCGTGTGCAGGGCGGCGCGTGCAAAAGGCAGGGTCCCCTGGGGACACCTGTCCTCAGGAAGCGTGCATCTTCTGGACGCGGGCGGAGCGCAGGGGCACGGCTTCGGGCACCGCGTGAGGGAGACACGCAGGAGCACAGGTGATCACGGAATAGCCTCACGGCGAGGGCTGCCCGTTCAGCCGAACCCTCAAAACCTCCCGGAGAGAAAGTGGCCCGGAGCAGCTGCTCCCCGCCCCTCGAGTCCCAGCCAATCACACGCCCTCCCCTCCAGTCTCAGTCCGGACTGATGGCCTACCCGGCCTTTAGTCTCATTCCTTAGTGTTAATTCCCCTTAAAGTAGTTTCACAACAGAGCACAGCCCATCTGAAGGGGCAGTAGGAATGAAATGGTGTGTGTGTGTGTGGGGGGGAGGATTTGTTTCTCCCCTCCCCTCCTTTTTCGATCCCCTTCTAAACTTCCACCTGCTGTCAGAGGTCCAACCTGAACTTGTTTCCTCTTCTCTTCCCCCTCCTCCCTCAGGCTCCATCCAGGTTGCCCTTCTCTCCTTGTCCCTATCCCCAACACTCACTGACACCCCAGGTGTGCCTGTCATTCAACGTGCATTTTTTATGGAAATTTGGAAAATACCCCAAAGGGCAATTCTGAGGGTGCAGGGGCGTTGACACAATAAAAGTGCCTTTGATGGAAAGGGGAGTCGGGAGGGAAGAGGAGGTGTAGTCAGGTGCCCCAAGACTGGCTGGCCTAGGCAGCTGCAAGGTGCCAAGCAGCTGAGGTCCCACTGCTGCTGGGGGGGGGGTCTGGCTCTGGAGCTGCCAGGGGGGCTGCCAGGCCAGGAGAGATGGTCAGGTCTGGGCCAGCAGAGCTCCCCTAGCCCAGCTCAGCTCTCCTCCTGTCCCCACCCAGGTCTGGTCTCCACTCCAGCCTTGTTCTACCCACTGCAGGCCTCAGGGTGCACAGTTACTAGCTGTTCCCAGGGACATTGACCCAAGGGGGAGGGGCATGGCCGCGGGATGAGCAGGAGGAAGCCTGGGCGGGTCACCTCAGGTGGTGGAGGCAGGTAGGTGCTGGGTGTGGGGAGGCTCTGCAGGCAGACGGGAGGCTCATGGGTCCCCTGCGAGATGCAGTCAGGGTGGGGAAACCACTTCTCACTTGAGGTGACTCACTTCTCTTCCCCATCCTCCCCCACCCCATTTGGAAAGGTCCTCACCAAATTACCTGGCGAGGCACACACCTGGGTCTCAAAAGATGCAGCCCCCCAGTCTGCCTGTCCCTAGGAAATGGGGCTGATGAGGTTTGTGGGAGCACACTATTGACACATGTTTAGGATTTTGGGAGATTTTCCTGCTGCAGCTCTGGGAACCCTAGTGGTCACCAGCCAGGGAATGTCCAGTTACCTTGGGTCTCCGAAGGTGGGGTGGGTGGGTGAGAGCCCAGGGCCGGCTGGTTCCCACAAAGCCCGCCAGGTGGGTTTCACAGCCGTCCCCTGAAAACCAATTAGGCAGCCTCCTGAGAGGTAATTTCCAGGTTCCTGGGCACTGTTGCCTCGGAGTGCCCCCGCAGTCAATGAGCTCAAGGCGGGGACTCTGCTGCGTTCTGTCCTGTAACGCGGGCACCGATCACGGCCGCAAGGTGAACCGTGCACAGAGCGCGTCCTTCCTGGCAAAGCTGGACTGGGGTCTCCAGGCGCATGTCAGGCTGGGGGCGAAGCAGGGGAACCCCTGGGACACCGGCAGGGGCTGGAGGCGTGGGGAGGGGCCTGGGGGAGCCAAGGACAGAGAAAGGAATGAGGAGAGAAACAATTGTGGGGCGGGCGTCTCAGGCTCCCCAAAGCCCCCCAAACATTGAAATAATCCCAGAGAAGCACTTGCGAGTGGGCACCATCCAAACGGGCGGGGGGAGGGGGCTGCGGGAATTTGGGCCAAAGCTGCACAGAATGGGTTTGCTCAGGGGCAGAGAGGATCCCATCCTACACAGAAATCTCAAACTGTTTCCGGAAGCTTCTAAAATGTGCTGGAGGCCCAACCTGGCCTCCTGCCAGACCTGGGACACTGTCCCGGCTGTGCTCTCTGAGGGTGTGGGGGAGCCTGCGTTTCCAAGTCTCTGCTGCTGGACTGGAGATGCGGTTGGTCCCCGCCGCCCTGGACTGACCCGCGGCAGCCCTCAGGGTCGGTCTCAGCCACTTCCCAGTGCGTGTGTCTCCCCAACAGCTGCGAGGGCCCGGCCAGAGCCCCATCCTCCTCCTCTGGCCGGGTTCGCGGAGTGCCAGCTTAGGGGGACCAGCCCTGCCCCCTTCCCAGGTCTGCACAAATGGGCCTCGCCGAGCCTGGAAGAGGCTTCCAGACGCAGGGGATCTGTAGCAGGGACACTAGTGCCGCCAGTAACGTGTGGCACCTGAGGGCGGCAGGGTGCCCCGGAGATGCTGGGCGCCTGGCAGTGGATCCAGCCTCCCACGTTTTCTTAAACCAAGGCTGGGAGAGGGTGTCGCTCCCCGCCGCTCCGCTGTCCTGCGCGCCTCTCGATGGGCTTGGGGACTGGGAGAGGACGAAGAACGCAGTGACAGCCGCGCTCGCTCACGGGGACACTGGCACTGGCTTGCTAGAGAAGCCCCACAACTGGGGAGAATGGAATCTGGACTCCAACCACATCGGGAGGGGAGCCCCAGCCGAGCTGGGAAAACCGCCTGAGCCGAGAGCCAGCCTTGGTGCCTCGGTGCCTCGGTGCCTCGGGAAAGGCGACTCAGCCGGCAGACAAAGGCGGGAAGAGGGCACAGGCGGCGCCCAGACAGCTCTGCCTTCCTTCGAGCAAGCACAGGCCCGGACTGGGGACACTGTGGCCTGGGGCCAGGGCCTGGAGCGAGGAGTGGGGTACTTGCCCTGTGCCGCAGACCCAGGCCTGTCCCTGCCCCAGGTGGCCGGGCCGCGCTCCAGAGACACCCCGTGGGTGGGTGGGCGCCCTCAGCCTGGCCAAGGAGGGTGGCGGCACTGGCTTTGCCGGCGTGGGCCCTGCCCCCAGGGCCGGGGTGCAGGTGGCTTGTGTTCAACCAAAGTTCCCTGGATGCTGGGGGCGAGAGGTGGGCGAGGCCCCCCTCAGACTGCCTCCTGTCCAGGCAACAGACCTGCTTGGGGCTCAGTCCAGTGGGAGGCCGGAAGCCGGGAGCTGTGTAGAACCTCCTAGAACCCGGTTTCTCCCGAAACAGAGGCGTCTACGGAGACGGGGAGGATGACTGTGCTCTCTCCTCTGTCCGCCCCACAGCCCGCCGGCCTTGGGGCCTTCTCCAGGGCTGGGGCCTCCTGCCTCACACACCCCCATTGTCCTTGGGAGTCACCTCGTGTCCTGGGAACCCGTTTTCTGTCTTTTCACCCTGCTTCCCTGCTGTTCTTAATCCCAGTAGAATGTGGCCCCTCCGGGAGCTGGGCCAGTGCCACTCGGGGTCCACCACTGTGTCTTCCCCAGAGACCCAGGCTGGGGTCTTCCCTGACCCGCCTGTGTGGGGTCATGGGTGGGAGTCGTACAGACCTGACACTTCTGGAAGGAAAAGGTCCCCTCAGAACGGCAGGGACCCAGGAGCAAATGGCATATTCTGAACAGTCCAGAGACAAACAGCAAGCTGGGTGGGGGAGGAACTGGGAGGGCAGCCTGTGCCCCGAAGCCGGCCGAGCACCCCAGCCCAGAACAAGCCTGTGGAGGGATAACGAGCCCCGAAGCAAGTTCGCCTCGCCCTCCAGTCTTACAGTGACTCACAATCAACGCAAGAAATTCTAGTATCTGTTCACCACTTCCTTTCGACCTTTGGAAAGAAGGCCT